GGCCCTGGAATGATTGTTTTTCGGAAGTGTCTTCCAGATATATCTGCCCTTTAGGTTTTGAGACTTTAATGACTCTTAGACCATCAGGTTTTCAGTATACCAGGAAGGACGACTGATTCGATCAATCACAATACCTTAGCCCAAGTGATACAATCAGCAACAACAATAGCATCAAGCACAGTTTAGAAAATGACAATTTGTGGTAGTTATTTTTTTTTTTTTTGGTACCGGGGATTGAGCTTGGGTCCTTGCGCTTGTGTAGCAGGCAGCGAAACCACGGAGCTAAATCCCTGGCCCTGTGGTAGTTATTAATCTATCACTTTTAATCATGTGAATTAAATAAAAATTGAGGACCAGCCCCAAATAAGTCTATAGTGAACAAACTCTTCAATATATCAACTTTACCATTCGAGATGGGGACTTGGAGTTGGGGAGGGAGGGATAGATAGGTATGATAGGGAAAGGTTAGAAGTGAGGCCGGAGGGCACAGGAAGATCACACGAACTCTAGGAAGCTGTTGAAGAGAAGACAGAACCAAAGAACAAACACAAAAACAGAACAACCTAACAGCAACAGAGAGGCTAGAAACTGTATTCACTTTCCTTTAATACTAATGATAATTGAGAGGAGAAAAGAGAAAGAAAGAAATTCTAATTAGGACAGGAACAGGAATAAAAAGGAAGAGAAATGAAGAACAAGGTGGGAGAGAGAGTGAGAGAAAAAAAGAAAATGGGGAAAAATTAGAAAAAATAATAGATAAAAATTAGAAAAAAAATAGTAAAATTAGACAAAAACATTGCTTTGAAAATAAAAAATAAAAATAAAGGGCCTCCTTCAGGGTGTGTCTCTGCTGTCACTATATACAGTGTAGGCAGGAGTATGCAGATCTAAGTCAGTTAGTCTCAGCAAGCCAGCAGCTGTCCCCTGAGGTTCAGGCAGCTTTCTGCCTGCAAGGCCCAAGTTGAGCTCCCTGACCTCCTGCAGGGTTGAACTCTGCAAGGTCCTACTGCAGGTCCAGCTGCCCTTCCCCTGAAGATAGTGCAGGTTCCCATGGGAGGTGATGATCCCTCCAATTTACTAAATACGGTGTGGTCTGGTGTGCCTTCATTGCAGATTCTCTTCACCTTTCCAGGGGGCTTCAGTTTTCATCTAGAAGCCTCAGAGAGGGTCTGTCTCTCTTATTCACTTCTGTTCATATCTTCTGGAGCTCAGATCAATGTCTTCTCAGACCCACTGCCCCTCTGTGGTGCTGGCTTGGCCCAGTGGTGGTGGTGGGGCATTGGCACCTGTGTGGCTCAGCTCTGGGTGGGGCCACTGGACCATCCACATTGTTACTGAGGGCTTGTTTCGAGCCCCAGCTTCTTCCCTCTTCCCTGTTGACACAAAGGTTAGATCTCTGGTTATAGTCTTCCTTTTTTGTTTTTCTTGTTAGATTGGATAGTTTCTATTGTTCTGTTCTTTGTGGATTCTCTTTCTCCTCTTTTCTGCCCTTTAGCCCATCCGCTAAGGTTTTTGTTTTGGTTATTGTTTTTTAGTTCTACAATTTCCATTATGTTGTTCATGTGTTTTACTTTGCTCAGTCTTTCTATTTTTCATTTATTTTAAATGTGTTTGTAATTGCTTATTGAAACATTTCATCATGGCTGTTTTAAAGTTTTTGTCAGATAATTTTAACCATCATCTTGCTATTGGCATCTGTTTGTTGCCTCTTAAACTATTTTGTTTTCTGGGTGTAAGAATGAGGGACTTTTTTTTTTTTGGTACTGGGGATCGAACTCAGGTCCTTGAGCTTGAGCAGCAGGCACTCGAAACCACTGAGCTAAATCCCCGGCCCATGAGGGACTTTTTGAGAGTCAGACGTTTTATATTGTGTTCTAGCCCTCCTGATCTTAAATAACCCTTGTGTTTTAGCTGATCTTGACACCACTCTGGCAAGGGAAGGGGAGTCCTGGAGACCTTCCTGCCAGGTGGGTGGACATCCAGGCCCCTGGCCTGGCCCATGGATGCCAGGGTAGGCGGTTCCTCCTCATCACTGGGGGTTGAGTGGGTCCAGTCCCTCTCTGGTCTCCACTCATGCCCTTATGGAGCAGCATCAGAACCGCCACACAGTGGCGAGGATCTGACTGAGGTAGGCCTCTGCTGATGGTACCCAGGGGAGTGTCGGGGTGTGCTCTGCAGTGGGGGGCTGGCTCCCTGCTTGGCCAGCATGGGTGGGTTTGGGGGCCACGGTTTCTGGAGTGTTTGCCTGGCATACGCTGTTACTATCTAAACGTCTCTTCTGCTAGGCTGCCCCCTTCCGGTCCAGTGGCTGGGGAAAGCAGCTTCTACTGGGCTGTGTCTGTGCCCGGTGTCTCTCCCAGGGGTCCCCCCCCCGCCCCCCCCCCCCCCCCCCCGAGTGGGAAGGAAAGGCACTTCTTTGAGGAGACTTTCTGATCTGCCCTTAATAGCTGTTGTCAGGCCGTCCTTTGTTACCTGAATATGTTTGTTATAAATGTTATTTTTGGGTTGGAGATTTAGCTCAGTGGTTCTGCTGCCTGCCTGCCTTGCAAGTGGCAATCCCCAGTACCTAAAAAAAAACCAACCAAAAAACAAACGTTATTTTTCAGTTTTTAACAGTAATTTTGCTAAGCAGGAACATTTGGTTTTTATATAGTTGAATATAATATAGTTATAAATAGTTAAATCTTTAAAAAAAATTCTGGATTCAGGTTTTGTAACCTGTTTGGAAAGGTGTTTCTTCTACAAGGTGATGAAAAAGTTTCTCATTTTTTCCCTTAGCTCCGAGGTTACTTTTTTCTTTTCCCTTTATACATTTAGACGTGCATGCCATCTGGAATTTATTTTGGTGTAAGGAGGAGCAGGAATCTCCCTGGACCCCCACCCCCTCGGCTACCCAATAATCCAGCTGATTTCCCAGGTAATTGTATTTTGTGGTATAGGGCAACTTTCTCATTCGGTAAATGCTCTTTAATAATAGTGTTGCGAGCAGCTGAATTCTGAACAAAGCAGGTGAGTCCCAGGGGCTGCACCGAGCAAGGGCCGGTTTGGACTCCTGTTTTCCCTGTTTGTGGATGACACTGGTGCTCTGTGAGCCAACACCCCCGTGAGGAGAGAGAACCCCGCGGGCCTTGCCTGTGGGACTCAGTTGGCACTTAGACACAGTCCATGTTTAGGAAGCTGGGGGGGCATGGCCAACTAGAGGGCGTCTTTCAGCCACCTTAGAAACTGTTCCAGTTTTGCAGCTTCTTCCTCCTCAGTGGCTGTCCCTGCCGAAGTCACCTTGGCTTATGCCGTAAATACTGTGTGCGTGCCTGTTTGTATGAGAGAGAGAGTGTGCGGGAGGCTGTGGGTCCCTCATGCTCCACCCCGAGGCTGAGCAGAGGCTGTTCGGCTCATGGCATCAGCTGCCGCTCCCAGTCCCGGCTGCAGCAGTGTAGAGACCCCTCGCTGTCTGGTGGCAAAGGGGGCTGGAGGCTGGAGGGAGGACCTGGTGTCCTCTATGCCGTCGGCCTGTCAGTGGGCAAAGACAAAATTGTTTTCCCTGGACCTTCTTTTCTTCAAAAGTAAAACCAGGTGTTGGAACTGGACTAGTGATTTTCTTTTTCTGAACCTTTTAGCAAGTGAGGGAGTCCACAGAAAGCCAGAATAAGAGCTTTCTGTGTTGGGCAGCTCGGGTCCAAGTTGGCCTGGAGCAGGTGCTCAGGTGGCTGGATGGCCCCCAGTCCCCTCCGCATGGTCTCAACCTTTCTCAGCCCAGTTGCTCCCTGCACGCAGCAAGGATAGTGGCCCCCTGCACAGGTGCAGGCTGAGGAGATGGAGCCCCAAGGCCTCCAGCAGTTCGGACTAAGGAGGCTCAGTGACAGTGAGTGAAGGGCTGGGGTACCTGCTCTGCCTTTCTCATTCTCCCCTGGAGACTCCAGCTCAGTGACTGCCGCCTCCTGCCGCTCTTGGGCTCTCTGGGGACACCTGGTCCCGCTGTACCTTCCCACGGGCTTTTGTCTAAAATGTAACCTGTAGTCAAACTGAGCTGCCGAAGGAGTTTTCCTTCACAGCTTTTGGTCCCTCCTGTGCCTGGGACACAGGTGTCCACTAGCCCAGTCCAGCGTGCAGTGGCATCTGTAGCAAGGCAGCCCAGCTCCGGCACACACCCCATGTTCCTAAGGACATGCAACACGGTTTATGACCCAGCCACCTTCGGCAGCGCCCTGCTGAAGACACTGGAGAGTGCAGAATGCCACTGCTGGCAACCGAGCCAGACAGCAGGACCAGCCTCCTGCCCCACAGCAGCGCCTGCCCAGCGCCCACACTTCTTCCCGAAAACAAGAAACTTCCACTCCAAAGACTCCAACAAGTTAGGCTGGCTTTATGTCACGTCTCATTTATTAATTCAGTCTCTTCTAAGTTGTACAGTTATGAAAATAACAAAACCAAAGCTGGAAGCCCAGGACGATTTACACTCTTGTGTGTAGTGAGGTCAGTCTATGTTGTTGCACAGATTGGTTATGTTTGGTACCACAAGATGTTTATAATTCAGACAAAATCAGATTAACAATTATATGTACAGTAAAACAAAAGGGAAATCATTCAAGTATCAAAATACAGAGACAAAGATTAAATAACATTTTATTACAGTTCAGTCCATTGCCACAGCAGGAGCCACAGTGCTCTGCAGGCTGCGCAGGTCCTGACGTCCTGACGATGGCCACTCTGCGCCACCCAGCAGCTCAGACCCAGACCTGAGGCGGGCAGTGCTGAAGGCAGAGGTGGCAGGAGCAAGGCGGCGAGCGGGAGGCCTGGAGTGGGAGCTCCTCTCTCGGGCGCCTGAGGGGCTGCCATGCCGAGTGACCTGCACTCAAGAGCAGTGTGGAGCAGGGCCTTTCCCCGGAGCCTGTCCTTGCAGCCACACTGCCCCTTTCCAGGAGGAGGGGCACAGGGAGAGAGCGAGCGAGCAAGCTAGCCAGAGCAGAGTGATCCACTCACTTTTCTTTATTGAACATTCTGAAATAAACCAACCTCCATCTCAAAACAAGACCCAGAGCCAGCGCAGCCTCGCCAGGGCTTTCCGACACGAAAACACCCTGAATAAATAATGACGATATAGCAGCTTCAAGGGGAAAAATGCCTACATGTGATTTAAAGACATCAGATAGTGTGAGGAGCTGGTTGTAGTGTCGTAGAGTTTTCGGGACCTCCGCCCGCCTGCAGGGCCTTTGGTCTCCGGGACTCCTGCAAGGACGAGTTGCTGAGGACCCTTTCAGGCCTGAGAGGCAGGCAACAAAGTGCAGCCTCAAGGTGCCAGGGTCCCGGTTAGTACCTAAGTTTGGAGGGCAACCTGCCTCCACCATGGGCGGCACCCCAGTACCCGCTGTGTGGGGCACTCAGCCCACACAGCCTATCGGATGACAAGCCCTCCTTCTCCAGGCCACCCACAGGGTTGTGAGGGTGCCCAAGAGCACTCTGAACTGCACTGCAAGCCTCTGCAGCTGGAAGGTTCCTCCTGGGACCAAAAGGACCAGGGCCAGGAAACCCAAGGCAGTGCCTCTCCCCCAGGGGGACAAACGGCTGCCCCGGCTTGGCCTTGCTGCCCTACAGAGCCAGCCCCTTTGTCCTTGAGGCAAGAAGGAAGCCCCACTTACAGCTGAAAGCAAAGCAAGCTGGCAGGAAGGGCTATGCAGCAGCCTGCTGTCAAGGCCACACTTTGAGGGGCGTGAAACGGACTGTCCTCTGATCTACCTTCTCCATACCTTGAGCCAGGGTTGAGCCCAGCAGCAGAGAATACAACAGTCAAGAACAGTCCGAGACTCAGAACAAGCCCTAATCACAGACCTGACTCGACACATCACAAGGTGGCAAGTAGCCATCTCCGCTGACCTACCCATTAATGCTCCAGACGAAGCTGCCTGTTCTACCAACGAGACGTCTCTAGAGAGCAAGAAAGCTTGGGCAGCTGGCCCCAGGGGGAGCTCTGCCCACCAACGAGCGAGAGTGGAGGAGCTCCTGGCCCAGCCATGGCTTCCTGGCACCAGGAATGACTCACTTCTCTCCAGCAGCCACTGGACCTTCGCTTTGCATTTGGAACTCCGGAAACAGAGCAAACTCTGCTTTGCTCAGGCACCTGAGGCTGTGTCCTTAGTGAAGAGCCCAAGTAGCTCAAAACAAGGACAAGAAGTTGGACAGTTTGAACAGCAGCTACCTCGGTGGGGTTTGAAAAGCAGCCTCAAACACACGTGCTCGGCTCTGCTGCACCTGCTCCTTTCTGCTCCCCTTGGGCTGGTTGCTGGCTTCTCACACCCCAGCTGCGCTGAGCCCCACTCTGAGGACAGGGCTGCATGGACAACTGGGCTGTGGACCAATCTCAGCTCCCCCGTCCTCTGATCCCACGACCATCTAAGGATTGGCAGTTTACCTAGAGGTTTGAGCCAAGTGTTAAAAGTTCACTTTATAAAATTTTTTTCTAGTAAAAACGTGTATTGTGGACAGGTCACATCATCTTGACCCTCCGGAGTTCCAGTCTCATCTGCCAGGGGCCAGGCCGTGGCCGGGAGTGGGTCCCGCAGGCAGGGCAGGGCCTGGTCTTCAGAGCTGCAGGCCCAAGGTTCGACGGTGGCAGGAGCCTGGGCTCCCCACGTCTGTTTCCGCAGCAGTGTGGTTCCTCGTGGCTCAGCTTGGCAGAAGCAAACAATGGGAGGAGGACAGGGTTAACGACGGGGGGCTTGGACAAGGTGGAAGAAACGAAAAGGAGCACAGAAGCAGACAGAGGGTCCCTCACAGCCGCCCAGCGCACCCTCCATGGCCCGGTCACCTGCTGGGGAAGGCACAGGGCGGGGGCGCCAAGGACCTGCCCTGGCTCTTCACCCTGGCTGCTGGCTCTCACCCGGGACTGTGCTCCACTTGCAGCTCTTCCTACCTCCTTTCTCACTATGCCAACTGCCCACAGTGGGAACATGGGCTCCTGCAGGTGCAGCCCCGTAGCAGTGGCCGCGCTGCCTGGGAGGGCTGAGCCTCCCAGGAGGGAGAGCCAGGGAGGCGGGGCAGGGTGTGGGGCAGGCTGAGTCTAGCTTGGACCCCCCTGGGAGAGGTGGCGGAAAGCTCCTGCAAACTCTGGATGGTGCTTGGCCCAGGCCCCTGGCTCTGGAGCTGTTCTGTGAGGGCAGAAGGTGCTCATGCAGGGCCCAGCCGCCTCCAAGCTGGCCCTGCAGAGCCTGGGATGCAATGGCGGGACCAGGGCCAGCCATGTTCGCACCCTGTTCCGTGGCCCGGAAGGCCCACCAGGACCAAGGAACCTGCTAGGCGGCCCGCACGTGACCAGCCCAGACCTTCGGCCCTCAAAGAAAGCAGTGTGCCCAGTCAGGCCACGTCACTGAGCTGAGGCCTCGGGGGCCTCACCACGGGACAGGCCAGCACCTGGGAGCGGCCACTGTGAGCAGTGCAGGGGACTCTCCCAGGTGGTCACAGTGGCTGGTTGGGTCAGGAAAGGCAGAAACAGTCAGCTCGGAGCCTGGCTGTGGCTCAGGACGGAGACAGGAGAGCACTCCTGCCCTCAGGTTCACAGTGCCTGTCCAGAGGCTCCCTTCGGTGCCCACCTTAAAGGCCACTCGCCCCCCTGTCCTCAGCCCGGGGGAGGATTCACAGTGTTCGGTGGTGTAGGTAGAGAGCTGTGAGTGTGGTGTCGGGAACTGCTGCCGGGAGGAGTGCGGGTCCCCATGGAACCGGGGCCGAGGCGGCGCAGCTGGAGGAGCTGAGGCAGCAGAAAGCCCGGTGGCAAAGGCACAGTGAGACTAGGAGCAGGGTGCTGTTAGAAGATAGTGGTCTCATACTTGGTGCTGAGGCTCCGCTTAGAGTCTGGCTTTGGGTCCACGATCCAGGAGACACTGGCGTGGGACTGGACCTCCTGGTCCATGTCAGGTGGCTCCAGCTGCCAAATGAGGGAGCAGCCTGTAAGTCAGGGGGCTCAGCCCAGGGCTGGGAGGTGAGCCCGGCCCCACCCCTTGGAGCACCCTGGGGATGCCACCTCCAGGGACTTTTTCCGGGAAGGGAACCTTGCCTTTTGGGAGCCTCCTGCTCTAACCCCAAACCCGCTCACGGCGGCAGGTGGGGAGGAGGGGCCTGGAAAGCTCAACACTCGGGTTGCTGAGGGGCAGAGAGGGCACCTGGGGCCACAGCAGTCATCCCAGGCCGCTGAGGGGGACACAGGACAGAGACAGAGGGCTAAAGCACACAGGGAGGGCAGCTCGGGGAAGAAGAGTGTCATGCGGGCAGGGGAAGAGCCCATCCAAGAAAGCTCACGGTCGTCTCAGGGAGACTGACACACAAGACAGCAGGAGGCGCAGAGACCTGGACTCCAGGACTAACAGACGGCAGCGGTAGGCAGGAAGGACGGTGGGTGGTGCAGGTGTGACAGTAACAACAGCGACTATCGGGGGGCAGCAGCACCTGGGGTGCGGAGCAAAGCAGACACAGACACAGGGACAGTGTCACGGGGCTCGGCACGGCCGCTCTCGGCCCCCAGATGGCCCTGCACGGGGTGGGGCTGGCAGGCCACCCTGAGGGCAGCCTCTGCTGGCCTTGTGCCAGAGCAGCTCGGCTGAGCGAGGCCATTTCCTGAAGGTGTGGGGAGACCCCCACGTGCCCAGCCTCGCCCCAGGCCCTGGCCCTGGCCCTGGCCCGCGGCCACGTACTGCGGACTTCCTCACGCCAGCCCGAGGCTTGGGCACCGGTTTGGAGGCTTTCGTCTCGATCGTGTCGGCCACGGCGGCCCCCGTCGGCCGGGACTTCTGGGCCTGCAGGGCCAGCTGGTAGGCCACCTCGAATGCCTGGCCCAGCGTCAGGATGATTTCGTATGTCAGGTTCTGGGGAAACACAGTGCCGCGTGAACACACGGGCTCTCGGGCCACGTGGAACAGGGGGACGTGTTTGAGACACACAGACTTGTTCCACCACACTGGTCTGTCAGGGATCAACCAGCAAAGCACAGTGTGTGTTTCCTGCACGATTTTGTCTGGCAGAAACACAGGCCAGTGCAAAGCTGTGGCAGTGCCAAGGCCTGTGAGGTCCACAGAATACCCTGCCCTTCCCCACTGTGGCACTGCTGGCCCTGCGGGGCCGCGTGGAAGCCGCCCTGGCTAGGCTTCCTCACGCCAGAGGCCAGCATCTCCTGGTGGTCCAGGTGCTGCTTACACCTTGTGGATAAAGTGGTGCTAATGTTCCTATTAGGTTTTGTTTCTTTCTTTAAAAAGGGCAAAGGTGTAAGTGGTGTTGTGCCCAGCCCCACGCCCCTCAGCCTTACGTCCTCACTGTGATTTTATGAGGAGGCATCGTGCTGCAGCAGCAGCGACTGTGTGGCACCCGGGGGCAACAGGGACGTCACTATTGACAACGCCACTCGGTGCATCTCAGAGTAGCCCCAGGAGCTGGGTGCACTGAGGGGCAGAGCTGTGTCTCTGGTGCCAGAGCCTGGCTCCTAACCCTGCTGGCCCTGGACCGGCAAAGGGTCAGGCACAGAGACTGGGCTGCAGGGACTGCCCAGGGCCACAGAGCTTCCTTCCAGGGGTAACAGGGACCTGGTCAGGACAGGCTCGCTCCAGGGTGAGGAGGTCCGCAGCACCACAGGTGCCTAGGCAGTGCCCTCTACTGGAGGGCCCGCAGGGCTGCTGCCCCCTGAAACTGGGGCCTGGGCCCCTGGGCCAGGGGCAGAAAGCCTTAGGGGTCCAGAGCCCTCGCCTGACGCAGGAACACTTGGCCAAGACCTGGAATCCCCTGGGTGCAGTCAGTCTCTGGCATCAGAAGCCACTGGATGTCACTGAGCTTCACACCCGAGCCAAACAGCTGCCAGGGGCTGGGACAGCAGGGGTGCGGCCACTCACCACATCCACCGTGCTGAAGACGTGGCAGTAGTGGTGGCTGGTCTGTAGGTCCTTGGTGATGTAGGCGAAGGTGCACAGGTCCTCTGGGTCCTGGGCCGCACAGGAAATGTTCCGGATCTCGTGCTCTGCAATGACGTTCTGCCAGGGAAAGTGTGTTCTGGACTTCTGGGGCCAGCCTGGCAATACCCACTCCAGCCGGGCACCTGTCTTTGTTTCCACTTAGGATACCAGCCAAACCCCACTTTCCCATCAGCTTTCTCAGTGCAGATGTGGGCAGGGTCCGAGGTGCCTGGCGGTCTGCCCCGACCACAGAGCGTGGCCAGTGAGTACCATGAACCGAACAGCAGGCCTGGGGTGTCCTCTGCTCACCAAGGACAGTGGGAAGCCCACGAACTTGTGTTGAGAACAAGAGGAGCAGCCTTACTACAGTGAGGATGGGAGTGGGTCCCAGGGACAAGGGTCTGGCGAGGGGTGGACAGGAAGTAAGGGAGAGACGGCGTCCTGGCGGGATGTGCACCTTGTTGGAAGCGTCGATGAACTTGACGCCCTTGTACGTGATGGACAGGATGATGGTGGGGGTCTTCTTCATGTGCTCGGTGGATTTCTGCAGGAAACAGGGTGCTCCTGAGCTTGCCCCTGCTGCTGCGACCCCACGGCCAGGCCCCCCACCCTTACGCAGTGCGGTGCGGCCCATCCTCTCCTGTCCCACCTGCACAGAGGCTCCCCGGGGCAGCCTACCCGCATCTTGGCACAGGCGTCTTGAGTGGACTCTGTCCCTCGCAGGTCTTTGATGAGCATGGACCCCAGGTACTGTGGGGGCGAGCAGTGGCCAGGGTTACCCCACCCACCGAGGATGTCTGTGTTCGCCCACTCTGCCTCCCACCCTCCCTCAGCTGCCAGGGCAGCTGAAGAGCAGAGCCCTGCAGGGTCCCAGCAGCGTGGGCGGGACGGGCAGGGAGGCTGGGAGGGCAGAGCGACTCACATTGGCCGCATAACCACAGGACTCGAAGATGAGTTTCTCCGGCTGGTGCTGCCAGCTCTGCACTGGGGCACAGGGGGCGGCCAGGCTGGGTGGCCGCAGGGTCAGCTTGGCCTCGCGGGGTTCCTCCTGTAAACGCCACGAGTCAGGGGTGCTGTGGCACTGCAGTGAACCCTGGGGTGCATAAGCTGGCAACCTCGCTCAGAGGGATCTGGGGTCCAGGGTCCAGTGTGGGGTGGGGGGACCTGGGCCAGCTGGAGCAGGGCACCCGTCTCAGAAGGGGCAGGGACACGAGCTACGAGTGCTGCTCAACACAGAGCAGGTGGCAGAGCAGGAGCCAGGTCCCCGAGTGACAGTCCCTGTGCGTGGCAGGAGCAGGAGCAGGGATGGGGAGGGGCCGGGCACACAGGAGGACGGGGAGGCCTCGGCCCTGCGCAGCCCCCACAGCAGCTGGACCGCGGCAGGGTGCGCCTCGGGGCTTTGGAGTGAGGCCAGCCTGAGCGATGGGGAGGGCCTGGCTCCAAAGGAAACGTGTCAGGAGCGCGGCCCAGCACGTGGGGGCCCGGGCTCAGCCCCTCGCACAGTACTGAGAAAATGGCCGTTGCCGCCTTGGAGAAGGGCTGTGCTGTGGGCAGGCGGGGAAGCCCAGAGGCCGCTGAGGGAGCGGGTGCCTGCCGACCTGCTGTCAGGCCAGGGTGCGGGTCAGGGCCAAAGCAGGAGGGGGACGGGCAAGTCCGGAGTGAACCTGGGAGCCCCGAAGTCGGCCCCTGAGAGGGTAAGGCTGGAATGCCTGGTGGCGCCAACCCAGGACAGGGCTGAGCACGCGAGGCCGGGGCAGGGAAGCGCTGTGCAGTGAGCAGCGTCTGCCTGTGCCACTGCAAGGCCACCAAAAGGCAGTGGCCCTAGCATGGGCTGTGGAGGACACAGGAGCACGTGGCTCAGGGCCTGGGGCCTGTGTGGCCTCGCCCTGGCTCTGGACCCTGGCCCTGCCCAGGGCACCACTGCTGCCGCCCCTCCTGCCCACCTGGACTCTGAAGGGCTCGGCTTGAGGTGGGGCCGCGGGGTCCTGAAGGCCGTCGTGCCGCCGCCTGCTTGTGTCCCCTGAAGGCAGCAGCAGGTCTGCTGACTGCCCGGTGCAGGAATCGTTCTGGCTCAGGGGGGACGACGTCTGGGAGAGCAGGTCTTGGCACTGCAGGGAGATTCTGGGTGAGGCTCACAGGCCACCAGCCCAGCCACAGGCTCCAGGTGTCCACTGGTCCCTAGACAGATGGGGAGCTGGCCTGGGCGGCACAACCAGTGGGACAGAAGCAGCTGGGAGCTGAGGGCCAATGCCAAGGAGACACTGGACCAACCAGCGCCCTGCGGCTTTGCTGCCTACAGACAGTGGCCCTGGGACGGGAGCCACGCTCACGTTTATCCGAGATAAAGCCACCTGCCCCACCCACTGAGACTCTGGGGCCCATGGCCAAAGGCAAAGCCCTTTCTTAGGACAGCAGTCACTACTGCGGCAGCACGGAGTCCACAGCCACCCCTAGAGTGCAGTCGGCCCCTGGCGGCCTATGTCTGTTCCCAGGTCGAGGCTGGGCCTCGGCTTCCTTGTCTAAGAGGCTTCAGGACTGAGCAGGACGAGGTGCACAGGTACCTGAGCCGGGATCCCTGTGTCACCATCCCTAGGGCATGCCCTGGCCTGCAGCTGGGAGCACAGGTCCTGACCTGTGGGCTCGCAGTCTAGACCACATTTGCAATCCAACATCACCTGCCTTGGGCATTGAATCATCTGTAGGGTTTTAAAAAATACAAGGCCTCAGCCAGGTATGGTGCTGGCACCTGTATTCCCATCTACTTGGTAGGCTGAGGCAGGAGGATCACTTGAGCCAGCCTGGGTCACATGGTAAGACACAATCTCAAACCCAAAAACTGCCTGGCAAGCATGGGGTCCTGAGTTCGATCCCCAGCACCAAACAAAAAAGGCCCTCCTGGCAAACTTCCCAGGGAGTTCTAAATCTGAAGACTTGCAGTAGGCCCCAGAGACTGGTATCTCTGCCAGACCGGGAACCCCAGCTTTCCCTGGCCCTGCTGCCAGGTGTGGCGCTGCCTCCCCCCCGCCAAGGCCTGGGATCTGTTTGTTTCAATTCTGCTTTCTTCTGTAAACCGGGTCCTCTGTTACAGGCATGTAAGAGGCCCGTAGGAGCAGGCAGGGACTGCAGTCTTCGGCACAGCCCGATGCCCTCCGCACCCCACTCACTCGCAGCTGGGAGAACCGCGGCGGCTTCTGCGGCGGCTCCTCGTAGGGCCTGTCTGCTAGGGAGGCGATGATGCGCTTGCGGTGGCCTAGCAGGTGGACCTTCAGGACCTGCAGGGCGGGGCAGAGGTCAGTGGGGCAGTCGGTGGCAGTGGGGCCACCGCAGGAGGGGCTGCGCACTCACATTGACCAGCTCCAGCTCCCAGAGGTTCTTCACAGTGTCAATGGAGCTGTAGCCGCTGGACAGGAAGGAGTGGACGTAGTCCTGCAAGCCCAGGGAGTCCAGCCAGGAGGGCACTGACGGGGGGCTGTGCCCATCATAGCCCAGGGCCTTCACCTGCAGGGCGGAGGGCAGGAATGAGACCAGAGCGAGGGGCCAGGCTTCTCCGCACCCTAGGCTCTGCCCCATCACCACCCTCCAAACCACTGCCACGGGAGAAGACAGCCAGGGGGTGGGGGTGGGGGTCCCAGGCCTGCAGGGACCCGTGAAGCGGGCCTTCCCTGGGCTCTGGGACCCTGGACATTGGACTTGGCACAAGCGAAGCCAAGGGCAGAGGCTTGGGGCCACAGCTCCTGGTTCCCCAGGACGACTGGATCCTCTGCCGCCTGCTCCCTCCAGGCCTCCTGGGGAGGACCCAGCCCCAGGAGTCGGGCGAGGCCCCAGGAGTCGGGCGAGACCCCAGGAGTACTCCAGTGACAGGGCAGGCCTGCGGGATCAGGCTACATTAGGAGGACCGCGGAGCCTCCTCCATCAGCGCCGTGAGGTGGTCACTGCCCCCAGGGCCCTGCAGACCCTGGGGAAGCGACAGGACACAACACAACAGTGGCCTGCTGGGTCCTGGAGGTGGGCGGGTGCCAAGCCCCTCCCTGTCCTCACCCCAGGTGCTGCTAGGGAGACAGTGGCGGTCACCTTGGGTAGGGAGCGCGCAGCCTGGAGCAGCTTCCGCCGGTGCTGGGGGTCGCTGATGCCGATCTCCCGCAGGTCCTGCTCTTCCATCACATTAGGCCCCTGAGAGCAGAGAGGAGGGCGTCAGGGCCCTCAGCTGATGGCCAGGCAGGGGCCTCCCTCGCCTGGCCCTGCCTTTTCCTTCCCAGCGGCTCCAGGGCAGCCGGCCTAGGCCAGGAGAGGGGCCCTGTGAGCCCTGACCCGCCCCAGCAGGTGCAGTTTCCTGGACAGCAGGTCCCGAGTCTGCGCAAGGTGGAGCCCCTGCCCAGGGACTCCCAGGTACAGCCTCGTGACCCCAAGGCTGCAACTGCCTCGGCAGGCAGCTGGTGCCAGGCAGGCGCCTCCTCCCTCCAGGATGAGGGCTCCCTGCCCTGGTGGGAAGGGGCTCCGAGCTGAGCCCAGGCCTCGAGGGCAGCGGCGGGCGAAGCGCACAGCGCTCAGCACAGCAGCAGTGATGGTGGCCGACGGCTGGCGCTGCCCGTGTGCTCACCTGAGGCAGGGACCAAGACCTCGTGTGTGAAGGACCCTGCTTCACACGCCCTGTATGTTCTCAATCCTTGTTTCACAGACAGGAAACAGGCCCTGAGCCCGCACGTGTGGGTGGTGGAGTGTGGCCGTGAGCCCAGCAGCCCGTGTGTCCCTCAACTGCCAGCCACCATGAGGCTGGCTCTTACCCAGAGGCGTTCCCAGGTCACATTCACAGCCCCCAGCCCAGCCCGTCCCCCGCCTCCCTCCTGAGCTGTGGAACGGCCAGCTAGGGAGGGCTCCGATGAACACCTCCGCGTGTGGGGTGTCATTTCCAGGCTGGGGTCAGGAAGGCTGCTGAACGGGGCCTGTATGTAAAGTTCTGACGGACGCCTCTGTCCCCTCGGGGATGCAGCGCTGGGTCCCCCGTGGCCTGTGACTGCGGCTTCCCCTGGCAGCACCGGACCGCTGCCTGGAGGCGGGGCCGCATCTTTGCATTTGCCTGTCCAGCATCTGCACGGCTCCCCTGCAGGCCCGGGCTGCTGTTCTCCCCACTGCTCAGCCGAGGAGCCCCGGCCCAGAGTGCTGGGAACCCGCCCAGGCCTCGGAGCCACGTCGGCCTCATCCCGTCCCTGTGGCTCAGCTGCCATGTGTCTTTCCCAGAGTCCCTTGCTTCTGTGGAGCCGTTGGTCTCTGCAGGTTTGCAGGCGTCTTCAGGGTAACCATCTCTGCAATGGGTTAGATACGCAGTTTCCCAGTCCATCATTTATGTTTAGACTTTTATGTTGGTTTTGCTGGGGCAGAATTTTGTTTCTTATACCTGAACATGTTCAACTTTTCTTGTACAGCTTCTTGGGTTGGTCAAGTTCAGAAAGGGCTCCCTCTTTCAAGATTATTTTTTAAATTTTCACACATTTCTTTCTGTAATCTCAGTTTCCTTTTTTACAGTTATGTCTCTTATCATTAGGAATTTGTCTTGATGGAAGGTTCAAGTCAGGGGCCAACCTTGTTTTTCCCAGGCAACATGCTGTCCACTACTTAAATGCAGGCACTCTCTTTGATCTGCAACTACCTTTGAAGAGGCCTCAGGGCCTCTCTTGGACTTCCGGTCCCCTGAGGAGGATATAACCTGCCCCTTTGGCAGGTGGAGTGAAGTACCTGGCCCAGTGCATGTGGACCATTACCGAGTGGCCCCACTAGTTACGGTGACAACTCCTGCAGAATTTCTGGGAGCCCACGTGTAGGGACAAGCACTGTCTCTCAGAGGAAGCCACCAGCCGTCAGCTCAGGAGAACCAGGTGTGAGAGCCAGGTGTACAGAGCCCGAGGCCAGGCTGTGGCCTTCCAGGGCACGCAGAGGCCAGGGTACCCTGTAGGTCTGCAGCCAACTCCTGAAGCACACACATGTCCAGGAGTCACCACGCAGTAACCTTGGTCACTCAGACCCAATCTAGGGTCCGCTGGTGGTGGAAGGCAGAACAGCAGCCTCCTGCCCAGATTCCCCACCTGATGACGAGGACACCTAAGTGAGGGTCTGAGCTGAAGCAGCCAGGGAGCTCCACAGGGGAGGAGGCGCACGTCCCAGAGGGCAACACGGTGGTTACATCACCAGCCCTTAGGGCCACAGGAGCACTGACCGGTGAGCTCTGCTCCAACAGGAGACACTCGTCCCCCGACCTGTCACAGGGCAGCGCTGAGGAGAGGTGAAGTGGAAGGCGAAGCAGAGCACGTGATGGGGACTGAGTGCCAACAGCTTTGGAGCACATCCTGGGCACAGTGCAGGGTCCCCAGGCCCCTGAAGTGGCTGTCACCGTCCCGCGGGCTGGGCGGGTGCACATCTCCTCAGAGGAAAGACACAATTCTGATGTCACCGGGGCTCCGACTGGGGCGAGGGGCTGAGTCCCACTGCATCCTGCTCCACAGATGAGGAAGCGGCTCACGTGCAGGAGGGGAGCCAGGGCCATGCCAGAAGGCTGCTCCCAGCCCTGCTTCCTTGCCCCTGACTGCCGTCCAGAGCTTGAGGGGAGCAGCATGACAGAGGTGACACAGACCTGCCCTGGGCTCGAGCAAAGGTGTAGACCACTCATCTGGGGTCCTGACCCTGGGCCAGCACAGCACTGGCCCTCTCCACTCAGGATGGGATGTCCTCCCTCCCATGAACCTCCAAGACGGCAGCTGCCCACACAGGGAAAGGAGTGAGGCAGCTTGGACTCGGCCAAGGTGGCAGAGCTCTGAACGCACTGGTGCTGTTCGCTCCACCAGCCAACTCCAATGTCACTTCCAGGCTTTACTGGCCATGGGACTGCAGAGGATGAGCACGACAGGGAAAGCGCAAGGGACCCTGCCCTGGCTGCGCGCAGCCCTCTGCCTGCAGCACTGCTCGCGGGGTCCAGCTGGGGACACAGCCCAGTGTCTCGGCCTGGGCCAGCCTGCTAGGGAGGGCGCTGCCTTCTGTCAGGGCTCAGGGAGGGCAGCGTGCACATGTGGTAGCTGTTGTTAGTTTAACCTCCATCAGGCCAGTCTGTGTGTGTGCTTTCTCCTTCCTGCTGGTACCTGTCACAGTGACGGCTCCTGGCACAGGAGGGGACTTGGCAGTGCGTCATGGACACAGCCATGGGGACGAGCGGCTGGGAACCCAGAGCCTTCTCCCCCATGCAACTCAGGGGCCGGAAACCACCCTTTGCACCTTGCAGGGGATTTCACGTGTCAGCACTCTGCTTGACTGCAGGTAAGGTCCTCACCTAATGAACAGAACAAGGCCGAGAAGGGGACTGTTTGGGACTGATGTGTGGCATAGGCCCTGCCCCGCTAGGGGAAGAGGGCTGTTTGCAGGTGCTCAGAGGGTCGCAGCCTGTCCTGGGCCAGGTCCTGATTTCCCCTCTGAGCACCAGTCTGCTTGAGGGCCCCGTGCATGGGACAGGGTCGACTCTGCCTCCTGCCCCGAGCCCGGCCTGCCTACTGCCTTGTGAGATGCCTGTGCTGACTGCCCAGGGAACCCCGGCCGGAGGGGACGCTGCTGCCATGAGAGGAGGCAGAGGTGGCCAGCAGTGCAGTCCTGTAGCTGCTCCCAGCTTGGTCTCTGCGACCACTCTGGCCAGCGTGGGGAACCGAAGCCTTTCCCTGTGCATCCCCATGCACCCAACTGCGCCGGGGACACTGCCTGGCACCGGGGCGGCCTCTTCCACACCACTTGGTCCTCATGGGCACCAACTGCGTCCCAGGGTCAACTCCCTTCTGATAACAGCTGCTTGCAGTTGCCACAGACCTTGTTCAGATGCCAGCGCAGGTCCAGGGGCTCACCTGTGCTTCTGACCCCACGGGACACCCGTGATCCCATGCATGACCCTGCCTGGGTCCAAGCGCTCGCTGCCAGCATGGCCCGGGTCTCCGCACTCACATCTGCTCGTCTGTCACAAAGGATGCACCTCATGCCGGCCAGATGGAAGAACAGGGCGGGCAGGGCCAGGGCCAGGGTTCGCGTGGGGCTTCTGTGCCCTCACAGGGCCACCACCCTCCCGGTGGTACCAAGTCAGCAGCTTTCCCAGCTCCATCCTTTGTTTTTCCAGGGACCACATTATGCAGACATCACCAGTTCACACGGCGGGGATCAACAGCCCGCAGCCCCTCTCCCTGCCAGGCTGGGGGGCTGAGGACTGGAAGTTCCAGGCCTCTGACCACCTGGTCAGCTGCCCTGTCACCAGCCCCATCTGGAGGCAACCCGGGGGCAGCCACTAGTCATCTCTTTAGCATAGGAAAGGAGTCCAACAGTGTAGGAGACCTGGTGCCAGGGAGAGAAAGACCCAATATTTTCTTTTCTTTTTCTTTTTTTTTGGTACTGGGGATCGAACTCGGGTCCTTGTGCTTGTGAGGCAGGCCACGGAACCACTGAGCTAAATCCCTGGCTTCTTTTCTTTTTAAGGTACTGGGGGTTGAACTTTGGGGCACTCTACCACTGCCCTTCTCATTTGGAGACAGAGTCAAGTTCCTCAAGCTGGGCTTGAATTTGTAATCTTCCTGCCTCAGCCTCCAAGTATCTGGGACTGTAGGCACAGGCCACCACACCTGCCTCATTTACTCACAGCCAGGAGTGGGCAGCGGGCGGGGACATCTGGGGTGGAGAAGAGTTCTGGTGAGAGGGGCAGTGACCTCAGGGCCTGCAGGGCTGGGGGGTGGTGAAGCACGGGAGGGCTTTGCAGGGGGTGGAAGAGCCCAGCAGACCGAGGCGGTCAAGGGCAGCCGGGTCCTGGGGAAGTTCTAGGGGCAACTGGGCCGTGGGGTGGTGGGCTGTGGGCGTGCTGGCCGCAGAGGGGCCAGGCTGCTGGTGGCCACTCGCGGTACAGACAAGCTGGCCTGCTGTGTAAAGCAGCAGCCGAGGGTCAGCAGGAGAAAAACCTGCCTGAGATCACTCAGCCCCGCCCTGGCTCCGTCCAGCCCACAGGCCGCTCTTTTCTGGTCCAGATGAGAAGCGAGGCCAGTCCTAGCCGGCTACGCAGCACTGCCAGCTTCCTCCCAGGCTCACATGGGCGGTGCTGCCCAGGTCGAGGGCTGTGACTGGGGAGCCAGGCTGCAGGCCAAGGATCGCTGAGCTCCAGGAGCCCC